CACCTTTCCTCTTCCCCTCTTCCCTATCCCCCTTTTCCCTTTCCCTCTCTCGCTCTCCCTCTCCTTCCCTCTCTCCCTCTTCTTCTCCCTCACCTTCAGTTCGCTCTGCAGGATGTCCAGCCTCTTCTTGCTCTCGGGTTCCACTGCCACGTCACTTTTTCTTTCCCTATCCTCTCTCTCCCTCCCTTTCGCTCTCTCCCATCTTCCCCCCTTCCCTCTCTTCCTCTCTCCCTCTTCTTCTCCCTCATCCTCTCCCATCCTCACCTTGAGTTCGCTCTGCAGGATGTCCAGCCTCTTCTTGCTCTCGGGTTCGACTGCCACGTACACCTTTTTCTTTCCCTATCCCTCTCTCTCTCCCTCTCCTCCTTCCCTCTCCCTGTCCCTCTCCCTCCCCCTCCCTTACTTTCTCTCTCTCCCTCTCCTTTCTCTCTCGCTTCCCCTCTCCTTCTCCCTCACCTTGAGTTCGCTCTGCAAGGATGTCCCAGCCTCTCTTGCTCTCCGGTTCACTGCACGTACACCTCCCTTCTTCCCCCTTCCCCCGTCCCTCACTCCTCCTTCCCTCTCTCTCTTCCCTTTCCCCTTTCCTCCATCCCCTTCCTCTCTTCCCTCCCTACCTCCCTCTCCTCTCCCTCTCCTCTCCCTCTCCCCTTCCTTCTCCCTCAACCTTCAGGGTGGTTCCGTCTGGCAGGGATGGGTCCAGCTCTCGTGGTTTCGACTTGCCCACGTACACCTTTCCTCTCCCCTCCCTCCCTCGCTAAGCTGCCTCCCATCTTCCACCTCCCTTCCGTCTCCTCCTTCCTCCTTCCCTCTCTCTCCCTCTCCTTCTCCCCTCTGCCCTCTCCCTCTCCTCTCCCTCTCCTCTCCTCATCCACTCCCTCACCTTGAGTTCGGCTCTTGCAGGACTGTCCAGGCCTCTTCTTGCTCTCGGGTTCCAACTGGCCACGTACACGCTTCCCTCTCCTCCCTCCCTCGCTCCGTCCCTCCATCTTCCCCTCCTTCCCTCTCCCTCCTTCGCCTCCTTCCCTCTCTCTCCTCTACCTCTCCCTCTCCCCTTCTCCTCTCCCTCTCCCTCTCCCCCTCATCCATCGCTCACCTTGGATTTGCTCTGCAGGATGTCCAGCCTCTTCTTGCGTCTCGGGTTCAGCTGCCAGACGTACACTTTTCCCTTTTCCCCTCCCTCCCTCGCTAACCTCCCTCCCCATCTTCCACCTGCTTCCATCCCCTCCCTTTTCCTCCCTCTCGCCTCTCCCTCTCCCTCCCTCTCCTTCTCCCTCATCTCTCTCTTCTGTCCTTCTCCTCACCTTTCAGTTCGCTCTGCAGGATGGTCCAGCCTCTTCTTGCTCTCGGTTCCAGCTGCACGTACACTTTTCCCGCTTTCCCTCCTCTCGCTAACTCCCTCATACTTTCGACCTCCTTTCCATCCCCCTCCTCTGCCTCTCCCTCCTCCCTCTCCCTCTCCCTCTCCTTCTCCTCATCCTGCTCTCTACTTCCTTTCCCACCTTCAGTGTCGCTCTCGGCAGGATGTCCAGCCTTCTTCTTGCTCCTCCCGTGGGTTCCACTGGGCCGACGTACACCTTTTTTCTTTCCCTATCTCTCTCTCTCTCCCTCTCCTTTCGCTCATATCCATCTTTCCCCCTTCCCTCTCCCTCCTTCCCTCTCCCTCATCCTCTCCCTCTCTCCTCTCCTTCTCCTCACCTTGAGTTCGCTCTGGGGCACGGGATGTCCAGCCTGCTTCTTCCCTCAGGCCTTTGCTTCCTTCCCTCTCTGCTCCCTATCCTCCGTCCCTCCCTCTCGCTCTCTCCCTCTCTCCCTCTCTTCTCCCTACACCTTCAATTGCGCTTCTGCAGGGAATGTCCAGCCTCTCTTGCTCTCAGGGGTTACACCACGTAAACACCTTTTTCCTTTCCCTATCCCTTCTCTCTCTCCTCTCCCTTTCGCTCTTTCCCATCTTCCACCTTCCCTCTCCTTTCCGTTCCCTCTCCTCTCCCTCTCGCATCCTCTCTCCCTCACCGTTCAGTTGCTCTGCAGGATGTCCAGCCTCTTCTTGCTACTGGGTTCCACTGCCACGTACACCTTTTTGCTTCCTATCCCTTTCTCTCTCTCTCCCTCCATCCCCCTTTCCTCTCCGCCCTCCTGCTCTCCTCTTCTTCTCCCTCTTCCCTTCGTCCATCCTGCACCTTGAGTTCGCTCTGGGGCAGGGGATGTCAGCCTCTTCTTGCTCCTGGTTCCACTGGGCCACGTACACCTTTCCTTGCGCCGGGGGGATTGTTGTGGCGACGGGGAAGTGGGTGAACTGCGGCATATCCACAGGCAGTGTTTGGCGCTCTCCTGGTTCATGAAGACGCTCTGCTTGATCTCCTGCGGGCGTGAGGGTGGCGCGTGAGGGTGGCGCGTGAGGGTGGGCGTGGGTTGGGTTAGTTCAGGGTTGAGTACGTGTTTTTTTTTTTTTTTTTTTTTTTTTTCTTTTTGTGTGTGTGGGTATCTCCTGTGGGCGTGAGGAGGGTGGGCGTGGGTTGGTTAGGTTCAGGGTTGAGTATTGAGTACGGTGTTTTTTTATTATTCTTTTTCTTTTTGGTGTGTGGGGGGGTATCTCCTGTGGGCGTGAGAGTGGGCGTGGGCGGGTTAGTTAAGGGTTTTTTATTCTTTTTTTTTTTTTTGTGTGTGTGGGAGGGTTGAGGGAAGCTGGTTGTTATTATCGTTGTTTGTTGTGGTCGTTGTAACCTTTATCATTAGTACTCTTATCGTTATTTCGATGGTTATTATCACCATTATTATCATTGTTATCATTATCATTATTATTATCATTACTATCATTACTATTATCGTTATTTCGATTATCAATATCATCATTATCATCATTGTTATCATTATCATTATTATTATCATTACTATCATTACTATCATTTCGATTATCATTTCATTATCATTATCATTATCATTATTATTATCATTATGATGACCATCATCAATAAATATCATTATCATCATCATCAACATCATTATCATGACTGTTGTTATTACCATTATCGTAATATCTTATTGCTATCATCATTATCATCACCATTATCATCTTTCCACCTTATTATCGTTATTTCGATTATCATTATCATCATTATCATCATAATGACTGTTGTTATTATCATTACCGTAATATTTTATTAACATCATCATTATTATCTCTCCATCTATCTAATCTATTGTTATAATCAACCATCATCAAAAACTCATCAAGTTAATATCTCTCAAAGAAATTATTTGATCAAATTTAATAAAACAACAAAAATTACATGAAGATACAATCCCTTATCTCTTATCAGCCACAGAGTCTCACAGAGATAAATAAAAATATAACCAAAAAGAAAGTTAGGTTCATGGCCCTTCCTTATCAGTTCATGCTTCTTATCAGGCACAAAAATATGTAAAAACAACAACAGAATATCGACTTAAAGACACGGTCTAGTTCTTATCTATTATCAGCCACAGATAACAACAAAATCTATTATCAGCCACAGATAACAACAAATCTATTATCAGCCACAGATAACAACAAAATCTATTATCAGCCACAGATAACAACAAAATCTATTATCACCACAGATAACAACACAATCTATTATCAGCCACAGATATCTAATCAACAATAACAACAAAATCTATTATCAGCCACAGCCACAGATAACAACAAAATCTATTATCAGCCACAGATAACAACAAAATCTATTATCAGCCACAGATAACAACAAAATTATCATCTAACAACACAATAATCAGCTATAACAACAAAATCTATTATCAGCCACAGATAACAATCTATTATCAGCCACAGTAACAACAATCTATTATCAATAACAACAATTTATTATCAGCCACAGATAACAACAAAATCTATTATCAGCCACAGATAACAACACAATCTATTATCAGCCACAGATAACAACAAAATCTATTATCACACAGATAACGGTACCACTTATCGCTTATAAGTCACTCCTAAGAAATTAGAAACCAACCAAGTCCTTTTCTCAGTCGTTATCTCTTATCAGTCGGTCCAGATGATAAGAACAACCCAGTCCTTATCACTTTCCAGTCAGTCTTGAAGAATAGGCACAACCCAACCCTAATGTCTTATCAGTCAGTCTTGAAGAAAAGGCATAACCAAGTCCTTATCTTTTATCATCCACAGTCCCCCCAAAAGACACAATCCAGCCCTTATCCCTTATCAGTCAGTCTTACAGAGAAGAAATTCCAGTCCTTATCTATTCTCAGTCAGTCCTAAAATAAGAAAACAAAACCCAGCCCTTATCTCTTATCACTCAGTCCTTAAAAGGAAAACCCAACCCTCCCTCTCATGCCCCTTCTTATCAGTCAGTCTTCAAGAAAATATACAACCCAGCCCTTATCTCTCATGAGCCACAGTCCCCCCAAAAGGGACACAACCCAGCCCTTATCTCTTATCAGTCGGTCCTAACAAAAAGAAAACACAACCCAGCCCTTATCTCTTATCAGTCACTCCTAAAAGAAGAAAACACAACCCAGCCCTTATCTCTTATCAGTCACTCCTAAAAAAAGGAAAACACAACCCCCTTATTTCTTATCAGTCACTCCTAAAAAAAGAAAACACAACCCAGCCCTTATCTCTTATCAGTCACTCCTAAAAAAAGAAAACACAACCCAGCCCTTATCTCTTATGAGCCATAGTCCCCCCAAAAAAGACACAACCCAGCCCTTATCTCTTATCAGTCACTCTAAAAAAGAAAAAAACACAACCCAGCCCTTATCTCTTATCAGTCACTCCTAAAAAAAGAAAACACAACCCAGCCCTTATTTCTTATCAGTCACTCCTAAAAAAAGAAAACACAACCCAGCCCTTATCTCTTATCAGTCACTCCTAAAAAAAGAAAACACAACCCAGCCCTTATCTCTTATGAGCCATAGTTCCCCCAAAAAAGACACAAACCCAGCCTTATTCTCTTATCAGTCACTCTAAAAAAAAGAAAACACAACCCAGCCTTATCTCTTATCAGTCACTCCTAAAAAAAGAAAACACAACCAGCCCTTATTTCTTATCAGTCACTCCTAAAAAGAAAACACAACCAGCCCTTATCTCTTATCAGTCACTCCTAAAAAAGAAAACACAACCCAGCCTTATCTCTTATCACTCTAAAAAAGAAACACAACCCAGCCCTTATCTCTTATGAGCCACAGCCCCCCCAAAAGGACAGAACCCAGCCCTTATCTCCTATCAGCCACAGTCCCCCCCAAAAGGACACAATCCAGCCCTTATCTCTTATCAGCCCCCCTGAGTCGATAAGGACACAACCCAGCCCTTATCTCCTATCAGTCACTCCTAAAAAAAGAAAACACAACCCAGCCCTTATCTCTTATCATCCCCCTGAGCCGATAAGGACACAACCCAGCCCTTATCTCTTATCATCCCCCTGAGCCGATAAGGACACAACCCAGCCCTTATCTCCTATCAGTCACTCCTAAAAAAAGAAAACACAACCCAGCCCTTATCTCTTATCATCCCCCTGAGTCGATAAGGAAGGCCCTCACCTGCTCCATGACCGTGGACAGGTACTTCTCCTTCTGCTCCTGATTGAAGACCATCCTCATCAGCGTCATCATCTTCTTGACCTCGTTGTTCCAGTCCTGCACGGCCTCCTGGTGTAGGCTGGCGCTGTTGCTGTCCTGCAGGAGGGGCGGAGGGAGGAAAGGTCAGGGCTCGGGACGCTGGGGTTCGTGTTTCGTGCATTTTTTTTTATCTTTGTTTATTTTTTATTTTGTTTTTTTGTTTTTTTATGTGGTTTGTTTTTTTTGTTTTGTTTTTTATGTGTATTTTTTGTTTTTTGGTTTTTTTTTGTTTTTTGTTTTTATGTGTTTCTTTGTATGTTTAATGTTTTTGTTTTCATTTTTTTTGTTTGTTTTTTTATGTTTGTTTGTATCTTTTTGTTTTTATTTTCTATGCTTTTTTTTGTTGTTGCAATCATCGTTATTAACATCGTGATAATGATTAATATCATTAGTAGTATTAGTAGTATCGATATTGTGATTAAGATTAGTATAATCATTATCATTGCCATAATCATGACTATTATTACGGTTACTATAATTTCTTTCTTTTGTGTAAAGATTTTGATAGAGAGAGAGGAGAGAGAGAAAGAGAGAGAGAGAGAGGAGAAAGAAAAAGAGAGGCAGAAGACATAGATAACATTCCCCATCCCTTTCCCCGATCCTCCTCCCCTTCCTCTTCCCCCTCTCCCTCTCCCTCTTCCCCTCTCCTCTCCTCTCCCTTCCCCTCTCCTCTCCCTCTCCTCCTCGAAGATTAATGAATGTAAGTGCTGATGGGCTGCAGCTTGTAGCAGGGCGGCTGCGCGTTCTCGTCCCAGTGGTACCTCCTCTTCCCTCTCTCTCCCTCCCCCTCTCCCTCTCCCTCCTCCTCTCCCTTTCCCCCTCCTCCCCTCTCCTCTTCCCCTCCTCCCCTCCTTCTCCCTCTCCCTCTTCCCTCTCCTCTCCTCTCTCTTCCCCCTCTCTCCCCTCTCCCTCTCCCCCCCTCCCTCTCTCCCTCTTCCCCCCCTCTCCTCCCTCTTCCCTCTCCCTCTCCCTCCTCTCCTTCCTTTCCCTTCCTCTTCCCCTCCCTTCCTCTTCCTCTCACCTTGATATTAGGAATGTAAGTGCTGATGGGCTGCAGCCTTGTAGCAGGGCGGCTGCGCGTTTCTCGTCCCAGTGGTACACTTCCAGAACAGCTCCCTCCCTCTCCCTCTCCCTTTCCCTCCTCCCCATCCCTCCTCCTCCTCCCCTCTTCCCTTTCCCCTCTTCCCTTCCCTCTTCCCCCCCTCTCCTTCCCCTCTCACCTTGATATTAGGAATGTAAGTGCTGATGGGCTGCAGCTTGTAGCAGGGCGGCTGCGCGTTCTCGTCCAGTGGTACCAGTGGCTGATGGGCTGCGCTTCTGCGCGTTCTCGTCCCAGTGGTACCTTCCAGAGCTCGCGTGCTGATGGCTGCAGCTTGTAGCAGGGCGGTCGCGTTCTCGTCCCAGTGGTACCACTTCCAGAAGAGCTCGCGGTTCGGTGTCGTGCTCCATTGCCGAGATCGCCTGGTCGAAGTCGGGGCCCTCGATCACCCGCGGCAGGAGGGCGTTGCCGAAGGTCTCGTTGAGGAACACCACCGTCACGATGTGCGAGTCGCGGGCCTGGGCTGGAGGGAGAGGAAATATAAATAAATAAATATAAATATAAATGGATAGAATGGGAGGTCTCTGGGCTGGACGGAGAGGAGGTGGTCAGAAGGGGGGTCGGGCTGGAGGGAGAGGAGGGGAGGAGGTGGTGGTTAGAAGGGGGAGGGCCTGGGCTGGAGGGAGAAGGAAGGGAAGAGGGGACGGTGAGGAGGAGGTGGTTAGAAGGGGGGGGGTCTGGGCTGGAGGGAGAGGAGGGAAGGGAGGGAGAGGAGGAAGGGACGGTGAGGAGGTGGTGGTTAGAAGGGGGGGTCTGGGCTGGAAGGGAGAGGAGGGAAGGGAGGGTGAGGAGGAGGTGGTTAGAAGGGGGGGGGGTCTGGGCTGGAGGGATGGTGAGGAGGAGGTGGTCAGAAGGGGGGGGTCTGGGCTGGAGGAGAGGAGGGAAGGGAGGGAAGAGGGAGGGTGAGGAGGAGGGGTGCTGTGGTGGCGGGGTTTGTCCTCCTCGTCTAAGCTAGGATCTGTTTTTTTTTTTCTTTTGTTTTGTTTTGTTTTGAATTTTGTTATTCGTTGTTTTGTTTATGTTTTTTTTTGTTTATCTTTTTGTTTTTGCTTTTGTTAGAAGATGGAGAGGGAATCCATATTTTTTTTCTGTGCTTGTTTGCGGAAAGGAAAATTATGAATGACTATAATGTAAAGTATTCCCGTTCACAGCTTCACTAGCCAATAAGTTGTCATTCACTCACATACGTACACACACACACACACACACACACACACACACACACACACACACACACACACACACACACACACACACACACACATCCACACACACACTCTCTCACTCGCACTCCCCTACCCTGCACATTCACTATCCAGTACCCACATCCACCCATACCCAAACCCACACACACCCATACCCCCAAGTACCCACCCATCCCGCCCCCCATACTCCCAAGTACCCACCCGCACCCCATCCCACCCAGTACCCACCCCCAGCCCATCCCCTCTCCCCAAGTACCCACCCGCCCCCATACCCCATTACCCCCAAATACCCACCCCCGCCCATACCCTCTCCCCTGAATACCCACCCGCCCCCCATACCCCCCATCCCATACCCCCAAATACCCACCCATCCCAAACCCAAATACCCCACCCGCCCCCCATACCCCCCATCCCATTACCCCCAAATTACCCACCCCCATCCCATCCCCTCTCCCCCTCTCCCCCGAATACCCACTGGTGAGCTGGCCGAGGCACAGTTCCTTGAAGGAGTGGTCGTTCAGGTGTTCATCGGGAATGCCCCAGTGGAGGTCGACGATGTTCAGCTCGTAGCCCTTCTCCATGCAGTACAGACGCAGCTTCGGGTACACGTGCTCCATCAGCGCCGACCGCTCCATGATGGTGTCTGCGGGAGGGAGGAGAGAAAGAGGGAAGGAGAGAAAGGGAGGGTGAGAGAGGGGGGAGGAGAGAAAGGGGGGGTGAAGGAGGGAGGAGGGTGAAAGAGGGAGAGAAAGGGGGGTTGAATAAAGAGGAGAGAAA